CAATTGGTATGATTTGTCTACTTTTGAATTAGGTTGCTCTTTTGCTGTTGTTATCTGAGTTTTTATATATTCTGGATACTAGATTCCTTTTTTTCTTTTCTTTTCTATTTATTTATTTATTGGTTTATCAAAAGAGTTATTCTGTGTAGCTTTGGAGCCTGTCCTGGAATTCACTCTGTAGACCAGGCTGGCCTCGAATTCACAGAGCTCTGCCTGCCTCTGCCTCCCAAGTGCTGGGATTAAAGGCATGTGTCACCATAGCCTGGCTGTATACTAGATTCTTAGATATATTGTTTGTAAATCTTTTGTGTCATTTTCTGAACTTTCATTTTTTATTTTGAGTTTTATTTTTTATATTTTTAATCTACAAATTTCTAAATTTTCATCAGGTCCAACAACTAGTTTTTTGTGGTTTTTCTAAAATGTCATTGCTAACACCAAAGTCATAGAGATTTACTGATGTTTTAATATTTTAATAGTTACAAATTCTTACATTTAAATCTTTAACACATTATTAGTTACCACTCATGTATGATATGGGGTGGGGGTCCAGCTTCATTATTCTGTGCAGATATTTAGTTGTCCAATCACAAGTTGTTAAAAGGACTATTGTTTCTCCCATTCAATTGTCTTGTCATTTTTGTTAAAAATCAGTTCACCATATACATATGCATTCATTTCTGGAGTTCATCCTATTCACTGTTAGTGGAGAATAGTATCTGAAGTCCAGTATTTTGGTGGCAGGTGTGTTCATTAGTTACTGAAGTGCCATTTCTATTCCCTCTCAATGTGCATAGGTAAGAATTGGAGGTACACAGGTACACCACTCATTCTCTCAAATACCACACATAATTCGCTTTTTAAACAATCATATTAACTTTCTATTTCCATTTAACATCACGGGGGTAATTTTATCCTTCTTTTTTATGTATCTGTAAAAAATGTCTCAAGCATGAAAAAGCTTGCTTCAATCTTCCTCAACGCATTTACTTATTTGCTCAATTATTTTATTTAATGTAAGAGATCATTGTCTCTTCTTCACTGTGAGGGTACTGACACAGGACAACTTTCACTAGATCTTGTTCCTGCCCTGCTACAAGGATAAGAACTCTTAGGCCTTCATGAAGTAACCCTAGTCACTAGGCACCATGCATTCTTCCTCATACATACCTATTATATACATTCCAAATCTGATTAGATTACAAAAAAAATCTAAATTGCTTTAACTCTGTCCCAATGCAAACAGTTAAAAAGGTGACAGAGATGTTGAGGTTGCCTGCTTGGATTCCAGTTTGTGCATATGGATGTTCCCTTTCACTGAGGTATGAAAGTAAAAAAGAATATAAGCTGAACGATAAACACACTAAATTTTGATGTATCAAATTCAACGCGGTAATAAGACTGTTTAGTGGAAATATGTAATGGGTTGCTAGAAATCTAAGTCTGGAATTCAGACAGGTGTAGAGAGAGAAAAGTATTTGATTGTAACTGCATGGAGAGGGGTATGAATGAATTTTTAGAGGGGACAGATAGGGTATAGAAAATAACACAATACATGATAACAAAGTGGTAAATTTGGAAGAAGGACCAACTGTGTCAAGCCACAGGTTTATTAATGACAGTTTTCAAAAATAAAAATAAAAGAATATGAGTTTGACTATGTGGAGGTTATCGGTAACTTTAGGAGAAATGGTTTCAAAGGCAGTATAGACAAGGTCAGAATGCAGGTTCCAAGTATAGGAAATAAGGAAGCAGTAAAGTATGGTGTTTTATGTCTGTAATATTAGCATTCAGGAGACAGAGGCAAGAAATCTTCTAGATTGAGGCCAACGTGAGCCGTAGCGTAAGACCCTACCTCAAGAAAGGCTTAAAAAAAAAAAAGAGGGAGAACACACCTATCTCTAAACAAGTACCTTTTGTTTCAATCAGCTTTGATGGTGATTGAAAAGGCAGAGAGGATACAAGGCTATGTATTCGAATGCAATATTCTGTGTAAAGGTAAACTACTTAGGTATAATTGGGAAAATAATCACATCTCATGCAGATCATTGTTCTTTCTGATGATCAACATTTTTAAAATATGAACACTGACTGAAAAGTAACCTTCGTGGTCTACTATAATTTCATTTTATCTATGAAAAAGAAACAAACTTGTGTTCATAGTTGGTCTAATATACAAATCATTTTATCCCCCCCCCCACTCTGAGGATTTCTTTATATTACCTTCCCTTCTCCCCATTTTTTTTTCTGAGACAAGGTTTAGCCCAACTGGCTGGCTCTAAACTTGTGATAAGTTTCCCACCTCAACCTCCTGAGTTCTAGGATTACAGGCATGTGCCACTACACATGGCTCATCAATCAGTCTTATTTCATAAGAACCTTACTTCTTATTATTTAAACCTATAAATTTTTATTTTGCAATAATTATAGACTTACCAGAAATTGTAAAAAGTAGCACAAAATCCCACGTACCCTTTACCCAGTTTGTCCTACTTGTAAGATCTTCTACAGCTATAGAACTTCAAAACCAACATTATGGTAATGGTATAATACTGTGAAATAGGCTACAGATGTTATTTACTTCCACGAGATTTTACATGTATTGATTTTTATGCATATAAATCTATAAAATGCTAGCACAGGAACAGATTTACGTACTAAACACTAAATTTAAGATACAAAACTGTATCAGCCTAAATGAACTCTTATGTCGCACTGTAATAACAATGCATATATAATGTCCAATCCCTGACTCTGGAAATCATTAATCCGTTCTTCCTTTTCATTAATTCTGACATTTCAACAACACTTCAGAAATGCAACCATACAGTAAGTGACCTTTTAAGACTCGCTTTTTTCATTTACTATATGCCCCAAGGCTCATCTAAATTATATAGATATTAGTAATATGTTCCTTGCCTCTACAGAGTAGTATTCCATGGTAGGAATGGCTTGTTTAGCCATTTACCCACTGCAGAACATTTGGGTTGTTTCTAATTTGCAGCTATCACAGATAAAGTTGCCAAGAAAAATTCTGTAAAAGTTCGAGGCAGTATGACAGCTGGTTCATGTTAAGTGTATGCTTAACTTTATAAAAATTTCCAAACTCTTCTTTTTACCCAGTAGTTGCATTTTACATTCCTGTCATTGTTTGCATTCTCCACAGCAGTTAGCATTTTCACAATTTTCTCTGTAGCAATTCTGATAAGTATATACCATACCACACTGTAGTTATAATTTGCATTTCCCAATGACTTATGAGGGTCAATATATATTCACATAATTACTTCTATTTACCCTCTGTAGTAAAAATGTGTCTTTTTTCATTTTCTACTGGGATTATTTTTGAGTTTTGAACATATTATCTTTTCCATTGATCAGATATTACATGGTTTACCTTTCCTCTTCTTAATATTTTGTGGAATAAAAAGTTTTAATTTTGATGAAGTCCAAATATCTACTTTTTTCTTATAGATGGTGCCTTTTGAGTTGAAAAGTAATACCTGACTCCTAAAAATTTTTTAAATGATTTTTCTCTTAAGTTTTCCAGCTTACAGTTAAATTCATGACATATTTTGAGGTACTTTTATAAGATATTTTGTTGATTTGTGAAAATTTAATTTGTTGAAATGACTGTCCTTTCTTCTTAATCATTTAAGCATATTATTGTGTTTATTTTTGAATCTTCTTTCCTGTTCCATTGATTTATACATCTGTTCTTCTGCGAATATCATAGCATCTTGATTATTGCAGCTTTATAGTAAGTCTTGAAGTTATATAATGTGGGCCCTCCACCTTTATACTATTCAAAATTGATTTAGTTTAATAAATTGTATACCCAGTATTTTCATCTGCCCTATAAAAAAGAAAATGAATAAAGAACAATTGTGGTGGAAGGAAATTAGAGAAAATACAGCATTAACATTCCATATGCCCTAAGAATATTTGTTTTCAAATATAAGTATGCCTCAGAATTAGCTAAGTAGGCCATATAGATTTCTGGGTTCTAGCCTCAAAGATTGAATTTGAACTTTGAACTGCAAGTGATTCTGATGCAAGTATTTCTGGGATTTTGAAAAACAATAATCTATGGGAAAATAAAAAGACCAACCAAACCCCCCAGTTACCACTATGGTTGGAACTTATAATGTTTTCTTTCTTTATACTCTTTTTTCCAATTCCCACTTTAGTTTCCAGTATGCAAAAGGCTCAACATTTTTTCTGAAGACACAAATATACAATTAGTGGCTACATATGAATGAATAATAAAGTACAATCATCATATTTTTGAAGTATGATTTCTACTATAACCTAAATACTAAAAAGTCATGGTCATATTATAATTGAATCTTAGATATACAGGATCAGTAAGAATTTGCTTTAGACTCAAATAAGCTAGAACTCAATTGTTTGCTTAAGAGAGCATCCACACAAAATTCAAATTTAGATATCTCATAACATGTATTTAGAGATCAAGAAGGAAGTCCTGACATGATTCTAAGTGAGAATAATCAATAGAGGTGGGTAATGATGAGCCCTGAATGTCTTTCCATTAACCCTATAGTACTTATGATTCACTTGCCTAACAAAAACATCAAACTATAAAATTGAAATACCAAGTATTCTTCCTTTAAATTATACAGGATGGATACCTGAAAATAAAAACAAAGACTTAAAATTCTAAAAAGTTTATGTTGCTGGTGCACATCTTTAATTCAGAAGGAAGTGGATCTTTGTGAGTCCCAGATGTGCCACAGCTACATAATGAGACATTGTCTCAAAAAAAGTTTATGTCAGGTATTTTCATTGAGAATAGGCATTTAATGCCAAGCATGGTAGGTGGTGCACATCTTTATTCCCAGCACTACAGAGGAAGAGACAGGTGGATCTCTGAGTTTGAGGGCAGCTTAGTGAGGTATGCAGAGTGAGTTTCAGGGCAAATAGGGATGGACATTGACACTTCAGCTCAAAATTAGAATAAATGCTCTTAACATTTGGAATAAACTTATCAAACGTTTTATTCCCAGATATTCCTTGCTAATGTACCTCTTATAACCTTTACAAAATAACTTTCATAGTCTGTAAATCATCCTTCATGTTTTCTTTTACAGCAACTGTAGGCAAGAGGATTCTATAAGCTCTGGAGAAGTTTTAGGAAGACATCTTGTATTTTATATACATAAAACTATTTGTTGTGATATAAAAGTGCTCCTGAATTATCTGCCTACATAGGAGTTGTATATAGTTTTGAACCATATTCAGCGCACAAACTGAGAAACAATATTATCACATTTTTGTCCTCTTGCTTTATTCTAGGGAAGACAGCTCTTCCATAAGCTCTTCTTTTTCTTGTTGCAACTCCTGCAAATGTTGCTGGTTTTGCTCCAATCTGTCCTCCAACCACTGTAGTAGAGGCCCACTGACTGCTGACATCTGACTGCACAAATTCTTGGTAAACACTTCAATAAGAAAAGAAAAAACATATTATGAGATAACTATAAAAAGAACTATACACTGGCATGTTCCTACTATACTACTAACAATATCTTAGTTTTGGGCACAGAAAAAAAGGGCTTGGAGAAACAAGTTTCTAAAGTACAGTAAGTAGAACTGGTAAAGGATTTTCAATAGTCAACAAGGGGGAAAAGAGCTGAGCAAATCAGGTACATATTCTGAAGCTCTAGATCCATAAGCCAAATAGAAATCTATGTTAAAAAATAAAATTAAATTTGAAAAAGTAAAAAGGATGGCTAGCTTCTCATTTCTTCATGTTAAAGGGTTAAGAAAGCACAAAAGGGTTCCCGTCTCCAGTAGGACTCTACTGCTTTCTCAAATGGAACAGAATTAAGTCCACAGAATCTAAGCTTGTCTCCTCTGATCAGCACTATAGGCTTGTGCCTAGGTTATCTAGCAGTGAAAATGTACTTAAAATGGCTTTTTTTGATGAATAAACAAATGAATAGATATTTAGTGACTAACCTATCCCTCACTAATTTCAAAGTTTCAATTAAGTATGAATTCTTTCATATGCATGCACCTATCTTTAGGCACTGCCCAGGTACATTGATCAGTCTGTACTTTTGAGATGTTAGTATATTTTTAAATTATTGTGATTTTAGAATATGGTTATGTGCCAACATTACCAATCTTAACTCTTTGCCATATTTTCCTGAGATAAAAATGATGAGATATAGTTTTCCTTCTTGTTTTCACAAAGACGTTATCTACCAACCAGAAATCTTTTCATGATTGTTGTGGTATATACATTTAAGCCCAGCACTTGAGAACAGGGTAGTCTACATATTGAGTTCCAGGACAGCCAAGGCTACATAGAAAGACCCTGCCTCAAAACAAACAAATAAATACATAAAATAGAAAAGAAAGCATTCCAATGTTCTTCACCAGCAATTTAGTTCATTAATGTTTTGTTGTTTGTTTGTTTGTTTTAGTTTTTTAAAGTCACTCAGTAGCCAGGTTTTATTCTGGATATCTCTGTGTAGACTAGTCTGGCCTCAAACTTATGCCAATCCTCTTGCCTCTGCCTCACCAGAGATGCACTACAGACATGCAACACTCTACTCTGTTTAGTCATTAAATAGGGAAATCTGGGTTAGCTGAATGGTAGATGTAGCTAGAGGTGTGTGTATGTTGAAGAAAGTAAATTGGTACATATTATATACTTATTTTTTGACCCTTAAACTTACCGAGGAATTCCTTCTCTATTTATTCACATGGAAAATTTCCTGCCTGATGTATTCCCTTTCTTCTACCTGCTTATCTCTTCTAGCTCCTACTACAAGACTAAAATAGGTCAGTAGTAATGTGATAAAACCAGTACATAATGGCCTATTTCTAAAAATTCTGGAAGTTATTGAGCATCCATGTTATGAAATACAATGGCCACTGGGATTCCCTAAGATAGTGTTTAAACTATCTTTAACTGATAGGTGCTATCAGCACACTACTGAGCTAGTCTATAAAAAAGCTTTTCTAGTTTTCCTTCTGTCTTATCAAGACCACATTTATAGTATTTAAATGTCTATAGGGTTTCAAGGAAATGTAAGAAGCAAAATTAGTTAAATTTCTAGAGAAGGAAACTGGAAACTCAAAGATAAATTAAAATTGTTTCTATAAAATGAGTATTTCAGAAATCACTCCATATACTCCAAAAAAAAAAAAATCTTACCCGAGCCATTATGGATCTTGGTTACTGAGTCCAGATGTGTAAGGCTAAAGGGATAGGTACTTTAGGTTAGCAATAATGCAGAATCAAAATGGTCAGGTATTTAACAAAATCATAACCTGATTTTGATCATAACAGAAGATCATAACAGAACTTGGCCAACTTGATTAGATAATCTGAGTTTCCACCATGGTTAACTTTATATTTAATTGGGGGGGATATGATTTATTAAAAAATTCAAAAGATAATTCAAAGACATAATTATGAAACTACTATCTCTTACTGAAGCTCTTGATACATTACACATTTAGTAAATAAGGCCCAGTAGTACACAGTGGGATCATTAGGATGTTGTGGTTTCAAAAAGGAAATGTGTTTTGTCTTAAAGGATCCAAAATATATGAGGCAAGATAGTAATGTTAAAGAGATCATCATAATATAGTATGAGAAACATGATTTGAAGCTGCTGTGAAGCTCTCTCCTAGACAGGTAAAAGGAAAGGGGCCTCAAAAGCTGAGCTGTTAAAGATAAAGGGTCTTCACTGAAGTTAACAAGAGAAACACTGAAGAAGTGTTACCTGTGAATCCTTCTATATGCATCCTGTTCTTCCTGACATAGGATCTTTGGCAGTTCTACTGCTGATTCAAGGCATACCTTCCCAATAGTGATATGAGGTACAATATGGATTGGGATTTCAATTCTCTCATACCTGTAAGACAACCAATTTAGATCACATTTTATCCGTTAATTAAAACAAGATATTTACACTTTAATGATATTGGAATATGGAGTGCTTCAAAGATTACATATTACTATAATTCATTAAGTTACTCAGTTTGAAAGTAGACAGAGTTCAAATTAGGCTTCTCTGGAGAGCAAATTAGAAGTCCATTTGTGCACTCATTGTTCTCTAGTCCTTTAGAGAATATGAATCCAGTTCTGTAAATTTAACATAAACCTTTAGGAACTCAAAATCAATATGACCAGTTGTTCAAATAAAAGAAACAACTAATACTGCTTTTAGTCAAAAAGTTGCATGAAGCTAAATAAACTGACTCAAATACAGATACTTCAGTGATTCTATCGGATTCATTTTGTAGATGGAATTACTCACATAAATAACATCCCACAATTTTTATTCTCTTCTATGGATAAAACTAGGTAAGATATTTACACATACTTCCATTTCATGGTAGAATGGAAGGTACAGACAGGCTTGTCTAAGTTCAGTCAAGTTCCTTGTATATATTTTTCACTTCCAATATGCCTAAACTCGACATTAACAGTGGGGTCAGTGGAAGATCCAGTCTGGGGACCCTCTACATTATGAAATCCATGGATACATGGCAGTAAAGTAGAATAAGATCTAGTTCTCTGTTGCCTTCTCTTCCTATCCACGAAAAGTGTCATTTGGTCCTTTATCATGATTTAGATGAAACATCATGACAAGAAATTACAACTATCTTTCTTTTATCCATATTCACATAATTAGGGAAGAGTTAATGAAACAATATACAATAGTGGCCTTTGGGGAATAAAATACAGTGATTAACATTAATGATGGGCCCAGAAACACTAAAGAAGTCAGTAGGCTACTCTTAGTTCTCTTAACAAGGTGTTCAATTAAATTTTCTGGGTGTATAAGCAGAAATGGTCTCAACAGTATATAATATGGAACATACATTTCTATAAATTCATAGAAGAAACTGCAGAGTTTCTGTCAGTTGACCAAAATTTAAAACCCAGAACCAAAATAAAACCATAGGTATCTAAAGCTTATAACAGATTCTGCCTCTGATAATAAACTAGTTTTCATAACACGTTTTCCTACTAAAAACAATTAAAACACATTTAAAGAAAAAAAACTGACAGTAGTCACTGGAGAACTACCAAGACAATAAGTAATGGGGCCAACAGGGAGAAAATTTCAGAGGTGACTTTAACAGATCCAGTTTTCCCAGAAAAGTATGATTCTAAACAAGGAAATTTATAGGATAAGAAGTTGCAAATAGTTTTCAAACATACTGGTGAGTTCAGAATGACAAAATTATAGCTGAGAAAATGCAAGGGTAGAGAAGACCTGTAAACTATTCTCAGGCATATGATGGTAAACATACTATGAACAAAAATAGAACTACATTACTATACTGACTGGTTTTGAGTGTCAATTTGACACAAGCTAGAGTCATCATGGAGGAAGGCACTCCGGTTATGGAAATGCCTCCATGAGATCCAGCTGTAAGTCATTTTCTCAATTAGTGATCAATAGGGGAGGGCCCAGCCCATGGTGAGTGGTGCTATTGAGTGGTGCTATTCCTAGGGTGGTGGTCCTGGATTCTATAAGAAAGCAGGCTGAGCAAGCCAGAAGGAGCAAGCCAGCAGCACTCCTCCATGTCCTCTGCAACAGCTTCTGCCTTAGGTGATATGGGATTCCCCTCTGTATGCTGTGAAAATGTTTTATTACCATTGGCTAATAAAGAAACTGATTTGGCCTATGGCAGTGCAGAATAAAGCAAGATGGAAAAACCAATGAGAGAGAGGACAAAAGAAGGGTGAGTCATGCAAACACCATGTAGCTGCTGAAGGAGAAAGACAGCAGAACCTTACCATCCCGGAAGTCACAGCCTAGTGGTGATACACAGATTAATAGAAATGGGTTAAGATGTAAGCGCTAGCTAGGAATATGCCTGAGCCATTGGCCAAATAGTTTTGTAATTAATATAGTTTTTGTATGGGTGGCTGGGAAATTAAATTCCAGTCTCTGATAAAACTTAGGATCCTCCACTGTTTGAGTTACTATCCTGATTTCCTCCAATGATGGACTATGATCTGGAAGAGTAAGCCAAATAAACTCTTTCCTCTCCAATTTGCTTTTTGATCATGGTGTTTTGTCACAGCAATAAAAATCCTACCAGAGACAACGATATAGGAACTAAAAGCCTAGACTTGACTTATCCCAATTCCTAACTAAATAGAAAGTGATCTCATCGTTATACTAGCTAGAATTTAGAAAGCCACCCAAACCTTCACTATAATGAAACATATCAAATAATGAGATATAAAGGAAAAATATCTATTAAGTGTGAAAATCAAATAAATTATGTTCTAGAAAGAAACAATGAATAGATTATGAGTAGAGATCAGTGGCCACTCTTCTCATTTGAAAAAGAGAAAGGTACATAATAGGCTTTGCCTAAAACTTAACTTTGCTAGGAGTAAGGAGAAATGAAGAAGGCATGTAATTATACAAGAGTATTGCTAGACTGAAAAACATAGAAACCTTATATATAGAATTAATTCAACTCCATAATCAAATTTAATCCACAAGCTTTGCTAAGAACATGGAGAATGAGATTTGAGCTGAAAAGAAGAGAAATCTTTAGCATTTTATATTTCTTAAATCTAAAACTCATGCTATACATGGAAAATGTGATGGCCATTGGGCAGATGTAATCCTGTGCTCATATCCCAGAAAGAAAGAAAGAAAGAAAGAAAGGAAGAGAAAGAAAGTGAAGAAAAAAAAGAAAGGAAAAAAGGAATTAAAAAAAATGAAGTAGGAATACAGTTCTGACCCAAATAACTTCTGAATGGATGGAAATTATAAGCCTTAAAATTTATATAAAATACTTCATGAATAATGAACTAATTCTCTTTTTAAAATTTTAGATGGGGCCTCTCGATATAGTTCAAGAAGACCTGAAACTCACTTAGTATCTCAGGTTGGTCTGAAACTTGAGATCTTTCTTTCTCAGGCTTCCTAGTGCTGGGATTATAGGCTTGCATTATCATACCTGGCTCTTATCTATTCTCAAATGTGCATGGAATGCTCTCCCCAGGATAGACCACATGCAAAATTTAAAAGTATTTTTTTTTCTGATTATAGCATAAGGAAACTAGAAATGAATGAAATAAGGAAAAGTTGAAAATCCATAGATGAATAAATTAAACAAGATACTCTTAAACAACAAATGGGTTAAACAAACTTATAAGAGAAATTAGAAGAAAACCTGAAACAACTGAAAATGAAAACAATCTATTATGAAATGAAGCAAAAATAATATGATGAAGAAAGTTAACCCATTATTTATAGCCATGAACACTGAAAAAGAATTAACAGGGAAAGATGGCTTAGTGGATAAAGGTATTTTGTTGCACAAGCATAATGACCTGAATCAGATTTCTAGGACCCAAACAGAAGATGGAGAACTGCAGAAAGTTGTTCTCTGACCTTGACATGTATACCATGGCATAGCACACCTCCACATATAATAAATATGTGCATGCAAAACACAAACATGAGGATAAATCCATAGCAACAGTGTTGTCCACCCTCAACTTCACTATCAGTCATCAGTATTCAGAGTCCTGAGGTAGCAGACATAAGATCTGCATAGGATTAAAATGTACAAAAGCATCAAAACCAAAAACAGAGAAATCTGGTGTGCTAATTACTTTTGTGTCAAGTATGTAACACCAATCTGTCACTAACAGTAAGAAACTGATTTCCAATAAAGCTCATGTCTGGCCTGATGGCGCATAGGGAGGAATAGGCTGACAAGAAAGGAAGAGTAAAGTACTAGAGTTTGTATATTCCAAAATGCACAGGAAATGCAAACAAAGATTGCAGAGTTGAACCTGTAACTCTAATAAAAGAATAACACAAACATGCACATACATGTAATAAATATTTTTTAAAGTTGGGCATGGTGGCTCACGTCTTTAATTACACTTAGGAGACAGAGGCAGGTGGATGTCTTTGAGTTCAAGGCCAGCCTGGTCTACAGAGTGAGTTCCAGGACAGTCAGGGGTACACAGAGAAACCCTACACCAAAAGCCCAAAATAAATAAATAAACAAATAAAAAAAAATAAATGTTCGGCAGTGCTGGTGTGTATCTTTAAGCCCAGCACTCAGGAGGCAGTGGCAGGAGGATCTCTGAGTTCGAGGCCAGTCAGGAGTACCACAGTAAAACCCTGTACCAAAAAGCCTAAGCAAACAAACAAATAAAATGAATGAATAAATGAATGAATGCCAGGTGGTAGTTTTGCATGATTTTAATCCCAGCACTTAGGAGGCAGGAGGATCAAATTTAAGATGCTAGGCTTAATAGCCTTGGTCCACAAGCTGGGACTTTAAGTATGAGCCACTGCACTCAGTTCAGCAAGGTTAACTTCCAATTACAAAAGTATCAATAACAAAAAATAAATAAATAAGACAAAAAAGTTTAAGTGCTCACTTTGGCAGCACATATACTAAATAATACAGAGATTAGCATGGTCCCTGAACAAGGGTGACATACAAACTCATGAAGTGTTCCATAGTTACAATAGATAAATAAATAAATAAAAGATAATAATTACCCATATGCTCATGATTATGGGGTACCAGAGTCGCTAACATTTATGAAACATTACTATGTGCCAAATACAAATATGGAAAATATTTGGTCTGCATTAATTTAATTAAGTCTCACAACAGGCATGCAATATCACCTCTGTTTTATTTATTAATCTATTATTTTTTACTTTTAAAGTTTTTTTTATGTGTCTGAGCGTTTTTGGTTACACGTATGTCTCTTCACCACAGTATATTTGGTACCCAAAGCGGTGATAAGAGGACATCAGACCCCCTGGAACTGGGGTAGCAAATGATTGTGAGTCATTGTGTAGATGTTGAAAACTGAGCCTAGGTACTCTACAAGAGCAGCAAG